GCACGTGGCCCCCCACCAGCTCGGTTGCCCGGGAGACCGGGGCTGTTTACCAGCGGGACGAGCCCGCGACTGCCGCGGATGGAGCGGAGAGGCAAGGTGAGCGTGGCCCCCCGCTGGCCCAGAGGATCAGCTCAGGGCCCCCTGCAGCATGGAAGGGACCAGGAGAGGCCAGACCCGAGCCTCCCACACACCGCCCAGGCGGGCCTCCCCGAGCTGGGCTGGGCGAACCCTGGGAGACAGGACAGGGGCCCCGAGATGGGGGGGGCTACTCCCCAGTGGCAAAGCCAGCCCGGCCAGAGCTCACCGTTGCGGGAGTAGGACAACTCCGGGGCTCTGCGGCAGCCAGGGGCCTAGGGAACCGTCGGGCCATGCCCTCCTGGCTGGGCAGTACAGACAGGACACAGATCCCGAGGGACAAAAGGACATCCCGTCACATGGAGAGACCGGAACCAGCTCTGAGCCTCCCCCAGACCAGCGCTCTGTCACCCAAGTCGGCTCTCACTTTCTGCAAGTTCTTCCTTGCCCCGCCCCTAACCCCTCTTCCAGCTGCTGAGGCTGGTTTCCCTCGGGAGCTGCCAGTTCTTGGAGACAATCGAGCTGTCCCCCTCCACCTACCCATTCCCCTGGGAGTCATTCCCAGCTCCTTTTCCAAACCTTGGATCATTTGGTGGCTTGTGGGCCAATTTCTCCACGCCCCCTTCACACGTGGCACTCGGCACAGGACAGTGTCTTCTAATCATGAGTCCTGGTGAGAACTGGGAATGGTACCAAAGCTTTCTCATGCTCAGGCCAGCTGCCATCTCCTGCTGGTTCTTCTGAGCGGTTTCATCCCGAAAGCGTCGCCAGGAGGGGTGGGAATTGGCAGGGGGAGAATATTAACTGATAAATATTTTTAAAAGACCAATTCACATGTATGCACCCTTAGTACATCCCAGCAGCCGGTATGTGGGTGGTCATATTTTATTGCACTTACCGTCGATTTAGATTTGGGCTGTGAGTGCAGTAGGGTGGTCTGACCCTGTGGTGGGTGGGAGGCGGGCCCGGGAAAGCAGGAATATGGCGACAGCGTCCCCTGTCGCGTTTTCCTTCTTTCTAGTTGACTTGGTGATTAATCCGAAGGAATGCGCACCTGCCCCTTGGCAGCTCCTTGGAAGCAGTTCTCAGTGTGTGTTTCCTGACTCCTAGCAGCCCCTGGGCCAGACTGTATGTTTAAGTAAACAGGCCACTTGCCTCTTCAGCTGGCAGCTCGATGGATGCCTACACCTAGATCTTGTCAAGTCACTTTGTGGTTGTGTCTGCCAGGCCTATCGGTGGTGAAATGAGCCGAGCAGGGATAATGATGGGTGCCCACACAAGCCTTTCTCGGCTGAGTGGGGCAGGCAGCGGTCCTGGACCCAATATAAAGGCATGAAGTGGGCCCCGGCCCCCAAACACCTGCCTGCCCCACCTCCCCTCTCCATGTTCTCGATGCCGGGAGAGTTGGTGTTCCCGCCACGTAGCAGATGGTCCCTGCACTTGGGAGGAGGCAGTGGGTTATGAAAGCAGGTTCGACAGAGTGGTTTCACCTGAAGGAGGTGTTAGTCTCTAAATAACCATGAGTGGGCTGACAGGAATTAGTCACAACTGAGGTTTTCCTCTGAGATAGCTCGCCGTCATGTTAGCTTATGACCAGCGTGTCTTGACTATGACACCCCCTGAACATGGATAATTATATGGTACCGAGAGGTATGGAAAGTGCATGCACAGACTCAAGCTTCACTGTTAAAAATAATCCAGCAGAGAACACATGACTCTGCTCGTCAAAGTTGTTAAGGAAGAGGTTTCTAAGTTACCAAACTCCCTGACAGTAAAACCTTCCCCAGGCATGTGTGGGAGCTGGAAGCCAAGCCTGTGATAACTCTGTGGAAACTGTGGCAAATTAATAGCCATTCCGCAAGGGGGAGGGTGGGCAGAGAGGGGGAGTGGATGTGCCGGTTGAGCTTGTCTTGGGCAGAACAGTTGGACAATCGTGACCTGCTCGCGCTGCCCTGAGTGAAAGTGCAGGATCGCTTAATGACAAGTGAAAGACGTTAGAACTAAACTAAAAGGGGGAAACAAAACCCCAAAACATTCTTCACAGTTGATCAGAAAATAGATTAAGTTACGGAGACGGGCCTGCTGTTTTGATGCCAATGAGAAGGCTCCTGAACTCCCAGCCGCCAGATGGGGTGTGAAAGACGAGTGAGAAGTGGGAAATGGAAGTGTTAGGAAGACTGGGTCTGTGAGCAGAATGGGGAAAAGACAGGCTGTTAAGTGTAGAGAGAGAGAGGGTAGCTTTGCTCAAGATTTTGCACCGAGTAGGACTTCAGGAAAATCCAGGGGTAGCATGTTTTGTCCGGTTGTGGTTTTAATGGAGAGGAAGAGGAGACTCCCTAAAATCAGGCAACGACGGCAGGGCCCACAGAACGGTACTCGGTTGTTCAGGATTTCGTGATGAAGGGAGCTTGGAGTAAGTGAAGTTGAGGTGTTTAAGTTTAAAGCATGGAGTTAGAAGGTATTTATTAGAAAGCATTGATCTCATATTTTTGAGGCAATTTCAATAAGTGGTAGCCCACTGAAATCCACCTTCTGGCATTTCTGTGCAGTGGGTGGGGCAGGCATGAGCCCTGTGATTCACCCAGCTGGTTAGAGATGACTGCACCTGGGGAAGAATCTTGAAGCAACAGGGAAGGCATTTGGACCTAAAATAATAAAAGCCACTAAACAAACAGAAAACCAAAAGCAAAGACAACCGCTTAATCATTTAATTAAATCTTTACTTTGCACCAAGCCTGGTGGTCATGGCCTTACCTACATCATTTCATGTTACTGTCTTCATGTTTCAGATGAAGAGACTGATCCGGAGGTATTTAAATAATGCCTTCAGGGTCACATAGCTCATTCCATAGATGAGGAAAGTGACTTACTAGCAAGATGGAGCCACTGCCTGTGGTCACATCGCTAGCTCGAGACAGAGCCTGAAATAGAACCCTGGTCTTAGGACTCCGGGGCTCGTGTCCTGTGCACCCAAACATGCTGCTGCTTCGGGACCATGAGGCACCGGGGAGTTGCCAGGTCTTTAGCGGGCTGCTCAGCCTGTGGGCGGAGAGAACAGCAGTCACAGTGGTGGTGAGGATTCAGAGGGAGGCTGGAGCCCAAGACCTAGCAGTGTCCTGGGAAGCTGTGACCGGGGACCAGCAGGAGGAGGTGGCTGTAACAGTGTTAGTGAAAAGGCCACCAAGATGGCCAGGAAAGAAGGAAAGATCTGATTTGGCGGTTGCGGACCAGCACAGGGAAATGCTCCCGCCTCCCACCGTGCGTGGGAACCCTGCTCCTGTGAGCTCTCACAGGCACTCCAAGCACCCAGGTGCCAGGGACAAATACGAGGCCCTCTAAGTGTTTGCAGGGTAGCTGGGGAGACAGGACCGTTAAGAGTAACAGTAAGAGACAGAATGTAGTCAGTGCTGCGGGAGACGCCCAGCCTGGTCCTCAAAACAGGACCCGTGTCACAGACCTGGGTTCTGTTTCAGGCTCTGCCGCTCGCTGGCTGTGACCAGAGGGAAGTGTCTATAGGATTAGCACGCGACCAGAGTCCCCTTTGCAATCGGTCTAGGACAGTGCTTGTGAATGACAGCCTGCGGCCAAATCCGGCCCACCACCGTGTTTTTGTGTGGCTCGTGAGCCAAGAAGAGCTTTTAGACTTTTAGGCGGTTGGGGGGAAAAAAATCAAAAGAAGAATACTATTCTGTGTCACATGAAAACTCTATGAAATTCAAATTTCTGTGTTCGTACTTGAAGGTTTATTTAAATACAGCCACACCCATTCATTTGCATACCGTCTGTGCCAGCTTTCACGCCAAAAGGGAGGAGTTGGGTACTTGTGATAGATGGTCTGAAAATATTTCCTATCTGCCCATTTACAGAAGAGGTTTGCTGAGCCCTAGTCTAGAACCCGAGGACGTCCCTGTAAGTTCTGGCCCATGGGCGGGTCAGCAATGGGCCGCCCCCTCCTCTCCCTCCGCCCCTGGTGACAAGGGTTGGGGTGGTGGAGGGACACTGCACTGGGTGATCTGTGCAGAGCCACCTCTGCAAGACAGTAGAAAGGACAAGCAATGGGCAGATTGGTGAAGAGGAAAAGGACTGAGGGAGAAAGGGAAGTGGGGGTCACAGAGGGTGGCTCGTCCACAGTGAATATTGGACCAGAGCTAACTGCTGTCGGGACGCCTCTACCGGAGTGCAGGGGGCAGCTTGCTGGTCTGTCCCTAAGCTCTTGCGTGAAGCTGAGCCTGGCTCTCCTGAGCGGTGACTTAACAGGGCTACATTCACTCTTTAGAGCAAAGGCAGCTCCTGGAACCGCTGCTTCGCATAATCACGTGTGGCTGATTCTGAGCTACGATGGCAGGGCTGAGGAGCTAGGACAGAGACCGTGTGGTTCCCAAAGCCCGAAGTATTGATGGAAAAAGGTAGCCGTCCCCTGGTTTAGGTTGTAACATGGCCTGTTCCTTCTCATCATGGTCTCTCAGCTCAAAGCTCCCCCTCCCCCAAATTAAGAATCAGAATTAGTCCCCACCCTAGTCACTCTCTGATGAAATACTTTATCTTCTTCATTGCAGTTATTACTCTTTGAAAATATCTGTTTACGTATAGGATTAACACTTGACTTTTCTCACTATGACTATGATAATGTAAGTTGCAAGGAATTTGGTTCACTGATATAGTCCAATACTATGAATGAGTGAATGAATGAATGAATGAATGGCAGCTGGTGCCCCTCTCCTTTGTGACTGGATCCAGAAGTGCCAGGGCATTTAATCATGGCCTCCTCTCTTTTCTCCTGCTTCCTCAGGGGTCTTGAGAAGCAATGGCCACAGAAGCCCCTGTGAATAGAGCCCTCCCTGAATGCAGCCCTGTCGTCAGCACAGCAGCCGACCGCTTCATCTGGCAGCCAAACTCGCTGAACATGCACGTCATAAGGCCCAAGTCCGCCAAGGGACGGACTCGGCCGAGGCTACACAGACCCCAGGACGCGGGGGTGTGCTCTCACCGCACACCCTCTTCTCCGCCTCCAGCCATTCCCTGCGAGTCGCCAAGCAGCCAGAAGCCAGGAGTCTGTGTGCCCAGGTCCCCAAACCAGGGCGCCCCCGTTGAGGTCCCCGAGCTGCTGCAGCAGGTGCCCATGGGCGCGGCCTCCTCCCTCAATAAGTACCCGGTCCTTCCTTCCATCAACAGGAAGACCCTGGGGGAGGGGGCGGTGGAGACAGTAGCTGAAAGGGCCGGCTCCCTGCAACTCAGCAGCATCCAGGCTCTTTACCAGGAGGAGACCTGCACCATGGAGACCAGCCAGGAAGACCCCAGAGCTCCAGCTCGTTTCCCGGAGAGGAAGCTCGTCTTCCAAACCAGGAGGCCGAGCTCCTCCGGGGCTGGAGACCTGGAGGAACCATCCGATCAAGAGCCGAGGCTGCTGCTGGCCGTCCGATCCCCGTCAGGCCGCAGGTTCGTGCGCCACTTCCGGCCAACGGATGACTTACAGACCATCGTGGCCGTGGCCGAGCACAAGAACAAGGCCACCTACCGACACTGCAGCATTGAAACGATGGAGGTGCCCAGGAGACGTTTCTCCGACCTCACCAAGTCTCTGCAGGAGTGCAGGATCCCGCACAAGTCGGTGCTGGGCATCTCACAGGGAGACGGGGAGCGGTGGGTCTGAGTCCACAGCCGCCCAGCTGGGGTCCCGGGTCTCTGAGCAAGGAGCCTGCTCAGGTGCCAGGGCCTCCCGGGGGCAGGTGGTTCCAAGTGCCACGTGAGCCTGGTGCAGCGATGATTCTCGGGACTCTCATCTTCAGAGCATCTCCTTTTAAGCAGTGAAATCTGCACCTGCACCAAGGGCACGGAGAAGATTCTCTCCTGGTTGTTAAATTCTCCCCACCCCTGGAGTGAACTGGTCAGCGACCGGGGCGCTCCCTGCAACAGCTGTGGCCAGGCCTTCTCCCTCCCAGCATTTTGGGACCTTCCTGGAGCACCTGCTCGCCTTGACAATGAACTCTCTCTCTCCCTCTCTCTCTCTCTCTCTCAGCCAATGGTTTGCCCTTCTGTATTTGATGCAGGATTAAACACTTGCCAGAGAGGATTCTAGTCTGGTAAATAACCAGGGTTCAGGAAATGTCCAACTGGCATTTGCATTTCTTGCAAGTATGTTAAGAAACGGGTGGTGTCCCTGTGTTGGAAACAGCCCCTTCGCGGGGCTCAGGTGGCTAGAATTTCCTGGGGTTTTCGGTTTGTGTGAGGCGGCTGCAGAGGAAGGATCGGGTCTTTTGCTGGGACCGATCTCCCACTGCATCAGTTGTCTAAACAGTCTAAGAGTTGGAAAGCAAATCGCCAGGAGTTTAGCCAGCAGCTACCTTGAAACAGAGACTGACCAGGGTTAACATCCTTTGGTAGCTACTCTCTGAGTGCAAAATTCTCCAAAACTGAGAAAAGCCAGTGTGATCTGATTTTCTTAGTAATGAGTCTTTGGTTTTGTAATTGTATAAACCTATAAGTCTACAGGTTTGTACTAATCACCCCGCCCCCACTCTGCTCATCGGGGTGTGGATACATTGTTTTATCCCCCAGTTTCAGTGTCTCGCCTTCTTTTTTTAAAAAATATATATTTTTTATTGATTTTTTTACAGAGAGGAAGGGAGAAGGATAGAGAGTAAGAAACATCGATGAGAGAGAAACATCGATCAGCTGCCTTCTGCACACCCCCCACTGGGGATGTGCCTGCAACCAAGGTACATGCCCTTGACTGGAATCGAACCTGGGACCTTTCAGTCCACAGGCCGACGCTCTATTCACTGAGCCAAACCAGTCAGGGCAGTGTCTCGCCTTCTTTAAACACAGAGGCTCCGGTGGTGCCCCTGTTCTCTGACTGAGAATCCTCCCAGGGGGTGGGCACCTGGGTTCGGCGTCACATGCTGTGCCTGTGCCGAGAGACCATGTGTCCCAGTGTCTGGCTGATTGGCATGAAGCACTTCTGACAGCCTTAGCCTGTAGCTGTGTTGAAGCCACAAAGTCTTATTTTTCCAACCCTGAGTGGTGACATGGACAGTTTGCCAAAGTTCTCTGGTATTGCTAGTTTAGCAAGACTCCCACGTGTCATCTGGGTCCCCTTTATGGCCAAATCACTCCTCAGAGTAGGGAAACTTGTCCCTCAGCCCCAGCCCCAGCCCCCGCCCCCGGCCACCGTGAAGCCCTGAGAACTGACATGCACACATAGAAGGCAGGAGTTCTAAAAGCACATCATTGTTGCTGCTTCCGCAACAAGGACTTCTTGGGCATAGATAAGAAATGTGGTTGGAAACGTGACCTCCAGCAAATCGATACTTAGCCGCTGAGATGAGCACCATCATCACTTCTACCAAAGAAGGTTCACCTTGTCCTAACTGCTCCCCACGCCACCCAAACAATCTAGAATAGGTGGCAAAATTTCTTAAGACCATCAGGGTTTGGTCAGAGGAGCTGCAGTGCCCGAGGCAGCCCATGCAACTGGCCAGGTCTCCCAATTACGGACCAGTGGCTGGAGCCTGGTACCTGCAGTACAGGAGCTTCACCTCCCACCCAGGACTCCAGTACATATAACTGTGCCTT